TCGGCTGTCGTCATTTGGTGGCCCACTGACGCTGTTAGCTGCGAACCAAGGGGTCTCTTTTCCATCCCTAGCATGAACCAACACGGGTGTATAGTGTTAGCATTGACGACATGATGAACGGCGTAACGGTATCCTGAGCCTCACGACTAAAGCCGTCAGAGCTGCGACGCCGAGGCCCCGGGTGGCCGAGGCTGTTCCAGATCAGCGGGATTCAGCTAACAAGAAGGGTTTCGGGGAGCCAAGTGGAGTTGGGAATGCGATGGCGAACACGACAATGCGAATGCCGAGAGAAAAGATCACGCCGCGGACTCGGCCGGTGGTTTTTCTCGTCGGCTACGGATCGGTTGCCGTGTTCGGTAAGTTAGTCATCGAGCTTTGTTGAGAGGCTTCACTACTAAGCCACAAGCCTCGGAGCCTCGGAGTTTTCTTGGCAATCGCTTCCATAGACAGATACGGATACGTGATACGTGCAACGAACCATACAACACGGGCCCCCTTTCTTGATGGTGTTCCAGAAGCGAACGATCGAGACTGATAGGATGCGGCCAGGGACAGGCCGAGGGAGCGGTAGGACCACCACTCTAAATTACCGGATGAAAGACGTCTCTTGGCAGTAAACGATGCCATCACCGTTTCTGTGCTTACGTGTGTGTGCTCTGGGCGACGCGGATGAGAACCCCGGAGCCGATCATCCCCGGTCCCACGCTATTGGCTTGCGACTAAGAGTAGACTTGACATCATTCTTGCGGCGTGCCTACGAGATGCCCCGCCGACCGCTTGTAGAGTCTAGATCTATACTGCACTAACCAGACAACTCTGCAACACCTCGTCGTACTGGTGATGGGCGTGCGTTTGTCTCCAGAGTATAATCCTGGTACACCCGGATCTGGCCAAGACGTGATTCCTCATGTTAAGGGATGGGCATTCGCAAGCGCAACTAACGAAACATGACAAGAACCCCTGAAGCGAGGTCGCAAAAAGGGAGGAATAAGGATACCAAGAAATGCACGAGCAAAGTCAAACATCAGGGCAGATTGGCAGAACCACGATTCTAGGTAGTATGCTATGCATCCCCATGAGTCGAGATTCGATCATCTACAACATGATGACCTGCCCTTTCTCCACTCCCACTATCCATTTTTCTGTTATCATCATCCGGCACGGCAACGACTTCCCCGTGAACGATGGCCGTTCCCGCCGCCGGTGGGATCAATGATTTGACGGGGGAGACTACAAGCTACCGTATCCGATGCCATGTGCCGGCACGGGCAACCGCAACGGACACGGGGGGAAGAGAGGAACGGCCAAGCGGTGCCGTGATCTTGACTCGTGCGAGATTGCGAGACGGTGGGTGAGCGACATTCTGACACTGACAGTGCCGTGGTCCGTGGAGAAATACCTTGAAGAATTGCGTGGACAGGTGGGAACCGTCAACCGCAATGTGACAGGTTGTCCAATCTTTCCGTACGATTTTTAATTGCGGCAAGTGGAGTTCCCCGGTATGGTTCCGAATAGCATCATCATCCGCGAAGCCAAGACAAGGGGAAAACATGCAGACGCACGACTTGTCTCCGCGGATTTGGACGTACTCCGTACCAGGGATCGTCTTCTCTGTCAACCTCTCAAAGTCTCTCGCTTAACGATTTTGTTGAAACAAGAACGTATCCATCAGCCCACACACGTCAAGGAGTTTGAAAGCCCGCATCTCCAATCCCCACAATCGACGAGATTGCAGTCCAACGTCTTTCTTGAACCGCGGAGAAAAGACATCTTACGATAAGGAGCATGGCCCCAACATCAGACCACCGAGCTGTCAAACGCTGCATGTGCGCGGCGCGGGTACGCTGGGGATGCTGGGGATTTTTGCTTGGATCATTCCGTCATGTCCGCTCCGTGGCAGCCGGAGCCGGTTTCTCGCGAGGAAACCTTAGCTCAGGCGCCCCTAGGAGACCACTCATGAAGCGGCTTTCGGGTTGTAAAGGACGACCCCGTGTGTGTGTGTGTGATGGTATTGATGACGATGATGTATCACATCAGACGATTGAGTCGATTCGAGCACATCGTACCAGAAATCCGGAAACGGAATGTGTGATGAGATGGAGATTGGCTTGGTATCAGTGCCCAGACAGATGCACAGCTACAGATGTGGACGGGGCAGATGCGCAGATGCAAGGCCAAGAAATTATGATAGGAGCGTTATGAACCGTTGTCTCAATCCAGATGTGCGGCCGTTATAGACAAATTACGGTTGTCAAAATGATATCGAAAACGAGGAAACCAAAATGGGTATATTCTCGTTATTGCATCTTTTTCTCATCTCGAACGGTGCAATGGGTCAATTGGGTCCGTTATTCCGCATAATAAACGGATCAAGCTGGCCTGAGCTCCGTCATTGATGCCGTTCATGATGCTTGCTACTCGTCAGGCACAAAAACGTCAAGGTGTAGGAAGGAAAGGGTGTGCCGGCAACGTCAGATGGGGGTGTGTAGATGTGCCCAGTCCGTTTTCGACGTGAGACTTGTGGAACGTACGGAGTAGACGGAGGCTGGTTGGTCAATGGCCGTCAACCTTGGGATGGCTGCCCGAGCCGAACGGTGACAGCTTGCTTCCCCTTCCTTTCACTCTGTACGGAGTAGTGTAGGATGCCAATGACGACGACGCTGAGCCGTATGAGCCGGAAGGGATCACTCCTGAGGATGTGTTGCATCTCGTCGCTAGAGATGCAGCGGTAGGCGAAAGCCACGATAACCACATCATCTGCAGACTGCAAGCCACCGTGATAGACGCGAAGCTACGGTACCTTCTGTCCGGGGGTTCCGTCCTACCCTCGTCCGCACCGTTCTTCCGGCCCCTTCTCCCTGCCGTCAATCTTCCGTCTCAAGGCCACGTCCGAAGCCACGCAACAAACACAAAGTGAACGGCGCAGCCGGCATATGCGAGACCCGGATCTACCTACCTTATGCACCGGGGGCTGCTTACCCTTGGTGGTGGTGGTTCTTTGGCAGGACTGCAGGACTCACCGGAACAGCCTCGATTCCTGTATGCAGGCCCTTGCCGGGGAAAAAGCAGTAGTTTGTTTCTTCACACAGCCTCAATGTCTCCCTGCCCGACTGTACGAATGCTCAGCACGAGGAGCCCTGCGTGTCTTGGATTTCTCCGTTCAACTCAAAAGAGAACAGGGTGGTGAGCAGGGGAGGGTCTTACTGGCCTCACTTTTGACCTGCAAAAGAACCCAATTGTCTCGCAAGAAGGGAACACCTAACCCAACAAACTCGTAGTCGGCCTGGAATCAAAGAGGGACCCTGGACTTATGGAGAAGGGGCATCACCGTCCTCAGCAATTTGCATTTCCAGTGACACCAGATAACCACAAACAAGCTCTTTACCGGGTGTCTACCCTCTCGTATGCAATTGAACCTTCAATTCAAGTTCATAGCTCGTTGCTCCGTAAAAGAATGACCAGGTATGTAGAACAGGGCTGGCAGGAGAGGCTATCGGTATCTCAGCTGCTCAGCACCCCCGACTCAGCTGGTATGGTTATCAAACCAATTCTTTTCCCCACATGATCCGAACACGCCCGTATCCAGTGCATTTTTATGATGATCATTTCCCTCCTCTGCCAGATTTTGAACGTTATCTTGCGGAAATCTCACCCCCAAGGGGCCCCAAATATTGATCAGGGGTTCTTCTTCTGTCGCACAGCTTGGCACATATTTGCACTTAACCTCCAAGGCGAGAAAAAAGATGATGGGGCGCGCAGGAAGGAAACATGAGAAGTGAGGCTCCGGCAAGTCGGAACGAATCTCAATCTGCACGCCTTGACGAAGAGTTCCAAGGAAACCCCATATGGTGGCCCCCTCCTCCTCGGAATGGCCCCAAAATTAGCAACACCAGATGCAAGCAATCATGTAATATCCATACGAAGCTCCTCACATATCACCAACAATCCGTTCTACGGAGTACTTCGCTTGCTCTCGCTGCAGCACAGGCCAGGACCCCGAATAAATCTCGTAAGCTGGGGTCCTGCGGCCTGCCAGACTTTCGCTCCCTTAGTGTCGATCATTTGTGCCCATCTATCTCAAACCAGGACAGAATCCCCGTCTCCAGAATTTAGAGCCGAGTCAAGAAACTCTAGTCTATTACCACACTCTTTCAATGTGGGTGATGGTCGCATTCTATCTTGGTTGTATCATGCTGCCGCGCAAGTACGACTCGCCGAACCGTGCTTTTTTTGAGCTCTCTCTCTCTCATTTCCAGATGCTACTCAACCCCACCATTCTCTCTGTCAGCCCCAATTCCATCGACACCTTACAGATTGTGAAGCCCTCAATCCGTATGAACGGAACTACGGATAATAAGTTGTAACAGTCCCTTGCCCGCCTTGTCTCCAGCCTCCCCCGCCAAAGAAGGAGCCCTATCTGCCAAATAAATAACGCTGGCGGCTGATCGAGGCGAACGGGAGGAGACTTGGGATATGGTGATGTTCGCCATACGAAACGTACCCCCATCTTCTCGATCGACGGAATCCTGTCCTGTCTGCCAACTTCCAAGTTCTTAGTCTCAGAACTACGAGGCCTCCCTTTTTGCAAAGCTGCCCTCTTGTCGTCCGTTTGCAGACAATTTGTCTGCCGTACCAAGTAGCAACCATCACCATGCTCCCACTTCGCGCGCAACCCTACTCCATGTCGAGCTGAGAAGAATCGTCCTACGGTCTACCAGTCCCAGAGCTGGAGACAACCTTATGAGACGGGGTGATAATCACACCTTACGGAGCTGACCGTCCTGCCATGACCATCATACATGGAGGCGATGGTAGGGGCGTCACCCTTCTTTCCCCACGAAAGCTGCAACCAAGACCCCTTCTTCGGTACTATAGCCGCATACACGTCGTTATCATAAGAGGCTCCCCTTTATCATAGCCGGCGCCTGTTAATGGGGGGGGGGGGGCCAGGCGGTTGAGACGAGCGAGAGATACCGCGCTCGCGCGGCTCAAGGGGAGCCATGGGAGGGGCAGCCATGGCTCTGACGCCGGAATTTGGCGAGACGAGCGTGGACGATCTACGAATGCCACAGTACGACACCGTGGTCAACCCTCAAGTCTGAGCTTCCGTGGACATGGACTATCAAACGCCCAGCTTCTCATTCCTTCGTGAACTTGTCCTCGTCGGAGTAGTCGCAGCCCCAATCCATGCCTCCATGTCGACATCCGCAGTTCATCCACCCTTTGACACTCTTCCCAGCTCCATCCCAGCTGCAGCGTCCCGCATGCGACCCAAAAGAAGAGAGAAAGGCCAACCTGCGCGGCAGATCTTCTCGTGTCATGTCACCCCAAGAGCTATGATTATCGCTGCTGTTGCTGCGCTCTTCCTGACCTTGCCCATGTCAACCTTCCTCCTTCGCGCCAGCGCCAGCGCGGTTTCTGATACATTTTACATGCTAAGCGAAGGCCCCTACCTCGATGTCACGGACATGCGCGAGGCCATTCAAGAGGAGGGGGGCTGAGAGGTTGTGATCTGCGTCTGCGCTATGCGTGCGCAGGATGCGAGCGCGGCTCCACGGTTCGATTGCATGACTGGTTGCGCACTACTCTATTCGTCCATATTGCAGAAAAAGTCGGTGATTGATGGCTTTGGTGGTTGTTTACCTGGCCTGCCATCCGGTCTCACGCAGATGGTCTTTGCATTTTTTCTTTCACAGCCACAGTCAACTCTACTGTCCCCATGCATACATGTACGTCATGTACGTTAAGTTTAGAGGTGGTGGTAAGCAACATCAACGCCCCAAAGCAGAATAAACCGTTCACTGTAACGGGATACCCTCCTGCACCTTAGCACACCATCTCCCCCAAAGGCCATCCTCTTCCCAAAAGAGTTTTCGCAAGGTTACCGATTCGTTGATAATCAGGGACCGAACGCTTCTAGAGTCGTCAAACTTCCTGTTTTCCGTGCAGATGTTGCAGATCGCTTCCCCCTCCAGCATTGGATTCATGAAATGTAAAGATTGCACACACGCCAAACGCGAACCGGACGGTAGGGACCGGAGGCGGGCTGCACTTCGCCTCTCATCCCCCACACCCCAGATGCGAGATGCGGGCAATATTTAGAAACACATACGCTACGAGAAGGACTGGAATGCGGGCCTTGGGGCCTTGAGTGAAGTCGCTGTAACGTAACGTGACAGCGAGCTGAAATCATTGTATTGGTATCGAACAGCATAATGACACAATTGCATCATCAATAGTATGTAGTTACGCTATCTGAGCAAGACACGCAATAAGACTCATTTTCGTAAAGTGATGCTCCATTGACCTTTACGAAATGAACTGTTGAGACTGGTGGCCGCGGGACGTTGATGGTCCGCGGAAGCGAGAGACAGGAAATCCAAGACTTGGCCAAGAGAGCGAAAGACACGGATTTGTCCGGAGACCAACGAAACATTTCGTCTCAGCTTTTTTCTGTGTGTCTCTGTTTGTGTGTCCCCTCCGCAGCTCTACCTCTTTCTCCCTCCGTCGCGGGCCAACAACCTCTCCTAGATCCGGACTCGACTCCGATCGCAGACACTTGACACAACAGCAGGCAGTCCGCTCTTCGAGCCCGCTGTTCATCAGGCGCGTGTTTCAGAGGAGGGCGAGGGAGAGAGGTACGGACTACGGCCGACAGGCTTCACCCTGATGCTAATATTTTTTTTCGCACTTTTCTTGACCTTTTTGTTTTCTTTGGGTGGTTCGCCCGTGGAACCGACGGGATGCTGTGGGAAATGTACGGATACTTTACGCTTTTTTTTTTCTGCATCGTTCGCCAAGCTTTGGTCTTTATCTAGTATACTTTTTACGCATGGACTGATTCCAAAAAAGTCCGTCCCACGGGATACGGAATGTCTGGTCTGAAAATGGCCGTATCGGCCGGCCGGCCGGCGGGCGAATGGGCGGGCGGTTCGATCTTTTACCGCTAGGCGCTTGAAGCCCTTTTCGTAGACACAAGTTCGTCCATGGTCCAACACGGGGCGGACGAGGTTTTGCCAAGATTGCGAGGTTTATCGCGAGAGAGATTAGCAGACTATCTTATGGAGTACTCCGTATCCCGTACATCGATTTCGTCGAGGCCCCATCAACAACAAATTCCCGGAACTTTTCCGATTTTCTGTTGTTTGCTTCGGGCATAATCGAGCCAAGGGTCCCAATGCATTGACACCAAAGCTTGGCAGGGTTGTGGTGGCTTGGGAATGAGATCTTGAGCCTATCTGGCCCAGAGATACCATCACGGTAATGATGAGGAAATGATTCTTCACAATTTAAAAAGAGGCCACAGTGTTTGCGAATTGCTTCATTTGATTATTCTTGATGTTTCATAACATTTCTGTAAAAGAGTCTGGTATCCGCCTGCTAAAAATGCTAAATCCCCGTTTTTTCTTTTCGCCAAATGATGCCCCAAGGGTATTGTAGTAGTATCCTGTACACTTTCCTCCTCGTATCTTTTTCCCATGGTAAAAACAGTTCCGCTAATGATGCTATTCCAATTCCGCGCTCATCCAAATCCCCAAAAAGAGCCCACTCGCCCTAGCCCCGCAAGGACAGACTGCAGCATCGAAAAAAGAAGTGAAGAAAAAAAAAAATTGGTAGCAAACAGAAATATTGACTTTCCCCATGCGCGACGACGTCAGAGGCGCCCACCAAGCAGGGACGGAGTCGACTGCGGAGAAGGGAATGGTCGTGATTGGGCGGGATTGAGAAAAGCGCGCCATCTCGGTAGTGCAGATTTCGTGGTCACCAAAGGGCAGACAGAGGCGTGCCCCTCACGAGGACCCCTATGATTCTCCAATGACGTCCGCATCGTCGACTCGTGTTCCACTCCCTCTGTGAAATGGACTGGTTTGTGTGTGTTTTCCCCCAAACTTCGCAAAGCGCGCTAAAGTTGGTGGTGCATCTGCAGTCGCGAACAGCAGCGCCAACCGACTATTTTCCAGGGTTTCGGGGTGGAACCATCATCATGCACGATGATGTCTTTTCCCCTTTGATGGAGGAGTTGAGAGAGGGGAGACCCTGAAGTGAAAAAAGTCGCTACAGCAAGCGCCGGCAATTGAACCAGCGGAGCGAAGCCAAAGGTTCAAGAGAAAAAATTAAGCCGTGGCTTCTTCTTCCCTTTCGGACCCGCATTCTCCTCGTATCCGAGACGGAAGAGAAAGGGACCTTTTTCGCTCTCAGGCTACGAGAAAGAGAAGAAAAGCTGAAGCCGAGGCAGGCGCAGCGGCCTGTGCGTTGGAGGTGGGTGGGAGACCGCAAACAGCGCACAAGAAAGGTACATGAAACTGTTGCCTGTTCGCCCAGCGTTGCCGAGTCTCTTTTTTTCTTGCGCGTTGCAAGTGAGAGAATGTGGGGTGACCCATGCGCCAATAGCCGGTTGCGGAAGTGCCAAGGCCCCAGTGTCAGCCAATCCCGCGCCCCGAAGGGTGGGAAAATGGGGACACGGGGCATCGTGCAGCCAATGGGAGAGGCCGCGCTGTGAGATGACTAACCCTGAGACCTTTTGCTGGTGCAGGTGCATCCCTCCGTCCATGTGGTCGGAAGAACTGTAGAAGGAAAAAAGCCAAGATGCGTGGAAGAAAGGCGTTCGATAAAATAAGTTCCTGACCGGACTCAGCCACTGGGTCGGGCGAGGAGGTATCCATAAACATCGTAGCTGTCAATTCGGGTCAGATCATGTCAGACCCGGTTGAATGATTGACAGCTGGTGAGATGTGGATACCGGAAGACCCCGTCGGCGCCGACTCGGCACGGCTGTCGACAACTGTGGAAAATGGATGTTGAACGACAAGTTGTGTGCGAGTGCATGTGCTTGTTGTGCCGTGTTGACATCTTTCTGACGTTGCGTAGCATTGGATAATGCTGCTGTAGCAATGTGCCGTCGTTCATGTCCATTGGAGGGCTTGTGTGGGTTGTTTCAACCTCGACGGGGTGACCATGTGACTGAGTCGAGGCCAGGTCGAGAGAAGAATCCAAAGGAGAATGGACCCACTTTGTCGAAGTGCACAGTGCATACATTTCGATGCTCTCTTCTCAGTCCGTGAGAATAGAATTGAAGATGAAGAGAAGAAGAAAAAAATGTCCATCAGACCGCGGAGTTGATTGGTAACTCAGACGCGGTCTGGGGAATCGCCGACCTGTAGTGCTGATCCTTGGTGAAGGAATGAGGTCTCCCTCTCAGGGAGACATAGTCAGTCAGACATGACTGTGTCCGTCGGGTCCCTGGACAACCGAGTAAGATTCCAAGTCGTAACCGAGCCGAGCTATGGGCTCTCGCTGTGGTGCCTGGCGTAGAGTTGTCCTTCGCATGGTGGTGTATCTCAGTCATGTTGAGGAGGTTGGCCATCGTCGGCTGTTGTTGGAGTAGTGTCCATGGGAGTTGCAGACTAGGTTTTGCTGCAGTTGGTTGGAATAGAGAAGATGGTGGCGGTCCGTCGTATACTGATCCGTCACCCCCGTTACGTCCCGACCTATGGGCCACTCATTTGTAGCCGACCATCTTGGCGCAGCGTTCGCAGTAGTAGAGGTTGTGAGCGATGCGGACCATTCCCGTTGAGCTGGAGTCGTCGGTGGAGGTAGCCTCAACGGACCTCGCGCAGCGCAGGCAGCGAAGGACCTCGACGGAGGCCACGGGCCTGGAGATGGAGTCCATGCTGTGTCTGTAGGATGAGGATGCTGAGGAGAGGTCGGAGTCGGAGGATGAGGAGGAGCTGTAGTGGATCTGGGAGGGGCGCGAGCTCGTCGAAGGCATGGTGGTGGTTGTTGGTGTTATTGTTCTATGGTATTGTAGTAGTTATCCCTGTTGGTGGTGATGTTGGTGGTAGTGCTGCTGTTGGTTTGCCTTTGGTATAGTATTCCAAGTCGTTGTATGTTGGAAGTTGGAGTTGTATTGCAAGTGCAAGAGTTGGTAGGGAGAGTGAGGTCTCGAGATGTGGGCGTGGGAAGGCTTGATGATATATAATGAAGAGTAACTGTGGGAGGACGAGCAGTGTGGTGTCCAAGGGGGGGTGTGGGCGGCAGGGGTGAGGGGTTAAGAAAAGAAATAAGGAGGATAAAAGTGAACACCAGGGTGTAATCTGTGAGTCTGGCAGGGGGGTGGGTGTGTGTGAAGGCCCCCGGGAGGAGAGGGGTGTGCGAGTGTGTGTGCTTGTGAGTGAGTGTGTGTGTGGGATCGACGAGAGAACGGATGGTGATGGCAGGCTCAGCGTAATAATGCAAGCTTGCTTGGAAATGTGCAAGGCGCGACGGCCTATGGAACTGTCGGCAAGAAGGGAGACGGCCAACGGTCACTCACTCACACTCCGTTGTCCGACAGAGCCGGGCTTGTGCAGTTTGTGCTAGGAGCAGTGAGTGGTGGGTGATGCCGCCCAGCACGACAAGAAGTCAGAAGGGCAAGGGGGAACTGGTGGTCGTTCGAGGAGAGAGAAGGGGCGTGTGAAGCCAAGCCCCAGCCAAGCCGAGGGAGAGAGACTGTGAGAGATTGTGAGAGAGAGGAGAGCGAGGAAGAACGGAGAACGGAGAGAGAGTGAGAGAGAGGGCGTGACGGTGTTCTGCTGGGTGGATGCGAGATGGTGTGGGTGGACCGTCAAAGTGACGGTTCGGTGACTGGCGAGACGGTCGATGCCGATTTGGAGACGACGTGGTGATTACGGATGGGCGTAAGTCCCGTAAAGGGCCTGCGTCAGTAAGACTAGGGTTTGGGGTTAGTTCCATTCGTAACGGATACGGACGATGCATATGCACTATATGCGACAAACGGTGATAACGGAACGGATGGATAGTCTTACGGAAATATTCGTTCCAACGGGGCGCCGTCCGTCCCACGGAGGAGGGGCGTGTGCAGCTGAACGGCAAACGCAAACGCAAACTGTAGTCCTGGACTGGGGGTTGTCGTTCGATTGGGCAGATATCGGGAGAGCGTTGGCTGCAATATCTGAGTCGTAATACCTAGCTTCCCGTCTTTCTTCCTTTGGGCAGTGCTGAGGCCGAAATGCGTGGTTTGTAACTCGACAAGCCCTAGGGTACGGAGTAGTGTGACTCTCTTTTTTTTCTGTCTTTCTGTTTGAGGCCTGCCTGGATGAGATGTATTGGTGAATTGAGGCCTGCTCGCTCGCTTCGCACGGCGTAAGCGCCGGTAACTTGAACCCTCGGGGATTTTTATTTTTTCGCTAGGCGGTGTTGATTCAATGTGGGTTTTCGATGACTTGTCAAATTGAACCCTTTCTTGTTGATCAGGTAACAATACGACAACACGTCGGTGACCGGGCGGTATGACTCTTCCAGGCCGGTGGATAGAGTTTCAATGCAAATGAACAACGAACCAGTCGAAGGTAAAAAATTGTCTGCTCAAAGACTTTTTTGTGTCAAAGGAAGAAGCGAAAGTGTTTGTTTACCGGTGAAGGCAAACATTCAAGGGGTTGCGTCTTCCTTCGCGGCACGGAGGTTGATGGGGAACGTCGGCACTTTTAACACATCTCGCATGGGTTGAATCGGAAAGATGGAGCTCTGAAATTCAGGGTCCAAACCAAAGGAGAATTAAAAACAGAAGGAAAAGTGATTGATCAGACTTCTAGACCTCACTCCTGCTCCATCGTTTCCCGAATGCGCCCTCCCTGGATGTAACTATTTTCCCATGTTGCGTTGCGCATATCTGGGTCCCGCGTTGGCATGTTTGTGCTTGATCGAAAGGACGACGAATGTCCTACCATCGTCGATGCTATCACCCGGGGGTCCCTAAGTTCTAACAGCCTCCCCCCTCTTTCCAAGCCTCCCGGGCGATACCAGGCAGGGCAGGTCATCAGTCCGAGACGCTGGTCAAGAGGTGGCTTTGATTGCGCATCTCGATTACAGGACGGGTTGTGGAGGGTGTGGCGGAGAAGCGACATCAAACGGCGGGGGAAGCTATGAACCCGTAGCGCCGAGTGTCAGTACGGATAGAGCAACATGGTGTGGATTTGTGCGTGTGTGTATGTGTGTCCGTTCATCCTTAGGTTCTCGCCAAAAGGCTGATCCTGACTGTTTGATGGGTGGTCATGAACTTGAAGCCAGCTGTATTACGTGGAAATGTCGGCGTCTCATGGGGCGGCCGCGCGGAGCCCGTGGATTGTGCGTGATAGGGTGGGCGGTACACACTTTCGCATTCACACTCTCACTCTTACACACACCCATTGACGGACTTGGCTTGAATCACGGGAGGTGGAGGTTGTCAACGGTGGGTAAGAAGGAATAGGAGTCTACTGTGTATGTTGGAGATTTGGCAAAAGTAGCGCAAGGTTTCATGTTTCGAGATGCCGTCCGTCCCCAGCCCAATGGAGATTCTCTCAATGTTCCTGAAGGGGGCGTCTTGATCAAAATCTCCGAGCCACCGATGAATACCACCCATCATCAGGCCACCTCAACGCTCAATCGCCGTTTTCGATACATCTTCAGCTGTGCTGTCCCAGCTGAATATCAGGGGACCTAACGATCAAAAGAGCCAAGTCCCAACGACGGGGGCCACCCCAGATCGACAAAACGGAGCCCCGAACCGTGGAGCACTGGAGCGGCGTTGGAACACTACCGTCTCGTTCCTTCTGGGGCCTTCAACAATCCTTTGATTTTAGAGAATAATCCGCATTTTCGTTTGGCTCAGACTCGCAGAGGCAGCCCGCAAGTCCCTCTCCACGGTTTTGGATTGATAATTCGCTCGTGGCAGCCGTCGTGCTAGATGCTAATGTTGCATGATCCTCACGGGAAGCCGTTGTAAATCTCCCTCTCCCTTGCGTATGTAATTTACGCCATCACTGCCGTT